GAGTCCAAATCAGACGTGTATAGGGCAGGGAGTTCCAAAATGGAAGCGTGGGTTAAAGGTAACGCAACTTTTTTTCGCATACATAAATAAAATTGTGTATCTAAGACCAAGCTAATGACTATTTATTGGGTCACATAACTAGAAAAGTGCTATACGTTTCCCGGATACATCTACATTTTCACAGACAATCAGGTAGAGAGCATCGCGGGTTTATGTGTAAAAGCCAGCTAGGTGCTTTTTTTACCACAGCTACAATAATTTTACTTTTAACAATCATACTCACCTACCCCTGACCTAAATCTTACTCAATGGCATCAAAATATATCTAGTGATAGGGGCAGCTGGAATGATAAAAATATCAAGAAATACGCGGTTCGCGAGTGAGTAGAGAGACCAAAACGCCTTAGCGGCAAACAACAGGATATTTCTTCTCAGAGTTCCTGGCCGCAAAGACCTTGAACTTACCAAAGAGGCAGACATGCTTTCCAGGACGTCATAGGTGCCGAGCTCTTCTTTGCAATAGGACCACACGCCTTCCGAGAAGAGTTTTGGAGATTAGAAAGAACAAGTAGAAAACCACTCTGAAATCAGGAAAAGATATGGCAACCTTTTTAACTTCCCAAAGAACAAATTCAAAACTAAGTTAAACATGTTATTGCTGATTAAGAAGTCATTTGAATAAAACTTCTTATCTGGCTTAACGATTTATGCCGATCCTCGACCACTACATTTGGCCAAAAAAGTATCGAAATTGCCTTGCAAAAACAAGAAAACGACAAATCTTATATCACAAGTTTTATTGTAGTCCTTGCTGGGCACTTAATATCTACCAAGTCAGAAAACTAGTTGGGTGTCGCCAACACTCGTATATGGTATTTATGTGAAAGCATATTTTAAATTTTTATATGCATTTGCTTGTCTTTCGGTACAATTTTTCCTCAAATTAGGTCATCCTTAGGCGAAACCTTGGATTTTCTCCCTTTCTTAAATTTCTCGTGATAAACAGACAACCTCTTACTTGAATGTGTTTATGATGTCGTTAAAAAGTCTGCAGTATTCTCAGACGTTATGAACGCAGCTCTAGGTGTCGCAGTGAGGGCCAGGAAGCTATTCTTGTACTATTCACAAAAAGTTATAAATCAAATCAGTCACTCTTGCACAGACTGTGCTCAAGTGACTACTCTGACGAGGTCAAATATATTGGTATCAGCCTTGATATGTGGTAGAGTTGCAACTGTCACATAGACAAAACGTTGACATGTGGATCTCTAAAAAACTTTTCAGCCGACCATACCACGTAATTGTCCGTCTGATTTTAGCTTATACCTCTGTAGTTTGGTGGGCAAAAGCTTTCCAAAGAACTGTGGTTTACAGTTTAAATTAACTACAAATGTGAAAAGCCAACCTCTCGGTCATAGCATCCATTGATAACAACTATCATCAGACAGATTTTTTGGAGAAATCCCGGAGGCTATGAAGATGCGTTGTTTCTGATTCTATTCTAAAAGAAATTTGCTAAATTATTGGTTTTTATTGAATAGGCAAGTCAAGCTTGAAAGAAAAAAACAGATGTGGGTATCTATGGCCCGGCCCTAAACTTGCTATTGCAATGGTTCGTAATTTTTCAAGCCGAGGTGCTAGCAATCTCTTGACATCGAAACCAGTAACCCTAACGGCTATGAACTTTATAAAAAAATCATAATTTAACCCCTAAAAATTTATTTCTATATTTCCGAACAAATTTAACCATTTTCCGGATCACATCGAGCCCTAACCGCCAAAATAACGTAAGCGACATTTTTTCAAAATTTTTTTATGATGCAGAAATGTATCTAGATGCTCTAGGAATATTTCTGCATCAAAAAGAAAATTTTGAAAAAAATGTCGCTTACGTTATTTTGGCGGTTAGGGCTCGATATTATAAACGTTATTTTCAGATTTAATCTTTTAGATCATAAATGAGTTGAATTTATCATAAAAACGCAGTCTCCAATATATGTAAGGGTTAAAAACACTGAGTTACAGCAAAAATGTTCAATAGATGCCACTATCCAATTTTTATATAGAATTGCTCGCTGATTCCGAAAATCTAGTTAATTTTTTATTCTATTTATAAATTTTCGAGATATTTTCAATTTACCGTTATTCAGCTTAAAACAAAAATTGGTTCAACTTAATCACGCATATCTTACGAACCAATTTAACAATCTTAATATGAAATAAGGCTAATAAAATTCTCCATAAACCACATATACATCACTTTCCGATAGGACTTATAGTTTTTGACAAATTAATTAATCATTCCAGTTTTTTTTTTATTTTTTAATGGAAAAATTAAAAAAATCAAAGTTAAACTGAAGAAAAATTGAAAAAATAACGGGTTCTGTACCAAATTTTAGCATCTGTGCTTAAACCTGTTCTGTTGCAAAAAAAATCAAGTTACTACTGAAAAAAATCGATGGATAAATAAAGAAATAATAGTGGTCAAATGAAAATACGCAAAGATTTTTTGTATGAAAAACAAGCAGGAAATAAAGTTGCTCATACGCCACGTACACCTGAAACCGACGAATTGATAACCTTCTACTTTTTTTGAAGTCGGTTAAAAAAGTAACTTTTAAGCAAAGAAGAATACGACTTCAATTGTCATATACAAATTTAAGATTATCATTAATTTCTTTATGATATAATGATCGGATTTAAACGAAATTAGTATGGGACCACCTGTAAGGTAATACCTTTACTTTAAAAAAAAAGAAAACAAGAAAAAAGAATTATAGAAATCGGTTAACGTTGTCCAAAGTTATGCGGTTACAGACATAAAAAAAAATATTCCGACGAATTGATAGCCTTCCTTTTTTGTGAAGTCGGTTAAAAAGTAACAATTTTTCAATGATTAAAAAACTCTTGACATTTAACAGTTAGTTCGGTCCCTGATCGAAACACATCCTCACTGACTGCCCAGCGTTAGCCAAGCAAAACTAATGTGGTTTGATTTGTCGACAGCCAATATCTTAGGTACAAGGAAATCATCTAATAGGACAATTTTAGCATTCATTAGAGAAGCTTAAATTATCTTTGGCTTTAACGGTAATGAGAAGGAGTCGATGTTGATTAATAGATTTCATATTGTTTTGGTCTTATCGACTTGGTGTGCCTCTTTTGTGCTTAGCAAATTTACCTTTAATTGAATATAAATGGGTAGATATATAACAAGTACCTTAATCCATTTGGAGACAACCAATATTTTATTTATCTTGCCTCCTATATCAAAATGTGGGATTTCAGAAAAAGTGGACTTAGCAACTTTTCACTCTAAACTAGCGACATGTAAGTTTGTTTTTGTACTTCAACAAAACAGAGCAACAGTTAGTTTCTACCGACACTCTTGAACAACAAATCTGTTATACTGGTATCCTAGTAACGGCACTCCAAAAAGCTCGAAATAAAACCAAAACATACACAAGTAGAAGAGTAACGGAAATTATATTTTTTATTTACACCATGGACGTTTTAACAGAAAACTTACTTTGGGAAGACAAAGAAATTAAATTCGACACACCAAATATGTAAGTGCATACTGATTGCATGTATAAATAACTGACTAATTGATATATCTCGTAACACTTTAGACAAAACCATCTGCGTAATGGTGAAAATGTTTTGGATACCATTTACCACATCGAGGATACGAAAGGCAATCCTGGAGATACTGGACGACTCTTAGCAACCAA